TTGGACCGTTGTTGTTCATTATTTTCATAAATGACATATCTAATGTTGTTAATCCAGAAAATTTGACACCTTAGTTACCGATGATACATCCTTTATATGTGCAGGCTATACTGAAAATGATGTTATTATGCAAAGTCAAAGTATCTTGAAGAACTTTACGAATTGGTATAATAGTAATAAGTTATTTGTAAATGTTTCTAAAACAGAATTTATTATATTTAAGACAAAATCATCGGAAAGAACTGACTTTATTATTAAAAATGAATGGTACCTTTATACGACAAACTGATACAATTAAATTTTTAGACTATACTATACTAAATCAATTTTTGGATTGGAGTGATCATATTAATAACTTATGTTCAATATTATCTTCCGTCTGTTATATACTAACTGAGTATATAAAGAATTTACTAAACACACGTCATTTTGAGATGGTTTTGATTGGATTTTTATTGAAGCATTCATTTTATAGCGTAGAAGAATTGACCTTTTCTCTAATATGATTTAAATGTAACTATTCCTGAGTCATTTTTTACTCAGACTTGGTTTTTAATTAACTAAATATTGCGGGGCCTCCTTCTGTCCTGGCTGAGACCCGCCAACTGAGGTCTGTTCTCTTGGCGATCACGCTTTTCTGTTAAATCGAACATTTATGTTTTAAAAGGTATTTTCTAGAAGATAGCGCAATACTAAATAATTAACTCAAAATTATCAACAGGAATATAAGCAGTTATTCAGAAGAATAAGAACTCATTATTCTGAATTACGACAGTGTAGAAACGTTCCTCAGGTACCAGTTTTAAGACACAAACCAGTATTAACTTTAATAAAGAAAAAAGTAAATAAATAAAAGTTACTCGATTGTTGTTAACCCTTCGGACCGGATTACCGTGCTATACGGATCGCTGATAAGGCCGCCACACACGACCTCATTTCCTTTCAATTATTCCGAGAATCAGTTACGTAAACGCGCTCTGCAAAGGACTCTTCAAAATGCAACGCTCCGCCTCGAGCGCTACGGATTTATTTCTCTTCGGAAAGCTCGCCGTGTTTCATGACTTAAGACGCCTACATTCGGAAGACGGACCAGATCTGCTTCCAGGCCAGGCCAATCAAGATTTCGTCACATACCGATTCTTATATATAAATCGTTGAGGAAAGGGTATTTCCAAGATTTGTGGAATATCTTACTGAAAATAATGTATTAAATTGTTTGCAGTTAGGTTCCATAAAAGGTACAAGCTCTTTCTTACACCAGATATCTGACAGTGTTATGCCTTCATTAGAATTTCCAAAAGCTTTTAGTACAATTGTACTAATTCGAAATTGAAATATTATGAACTCGACAGTTTGTCGGTGTGCTTCTTCAGTTCGTATTTGATTCATCGTTTCCTTTATTACTTCAGGAGTGCCCCAGGGGTCTGTGTTGGGTCCACTGTTATTTTTAATTTATACTGCAAACAAATTAAGAAAACAAATCTTCATTTATCGATATTAAATTATTAGCCTGGTTTTTAAGCTTACCAGGAGCTAAACGTAACATATTTTTGATTTAGTATATTGTAGTAGTCACATTTAATAACTAATAATAAATTAATATAGAAGAAAAGTCCTCATAATGAGCATAAAAACTCTTTAACGTCTGAAGAAAAAATCATTTCCCAAACCCCATCGAATCCATTCTGTATTGTCTTTGTTTCCATGTGTGACCAGAACACGGAAATCTATAATTTTGTGCTTTAGTTCCGTAATACAGAAAGGGATATTTTCCCTCTCATTCCATAACAAATAGCTCCTTGTATTCCCTGCATACTCCCGCCCCTTCGTTGGAATTGGGGGCGACTGCGCAGTCGCACAAAACCCTCACCGCCGTCAATACTGAGAGAAATGTATTCCTATACAAAATTTTATAATATTATTTATTTGTCTGCTTTAATCACAACGAACAGTTTAAAAAAGAAACAAGTTGGCTGTATAAACAAAGGAACTTTATGTATTTCACTATTCAGACGTATTTAATATCTTTTTTTCTTAATCAATGACCAATGACCGATAATTTTGAAATATTAACATTAATGAAGCATTTACTGTTTCTATTGTATTCTTTATTTGATGGGTTTGATTGATTAAAATCAAAATATTTCAGAATATTCATAGTTCACTTGCCTGCTATGATTATTTCAATACCGTTACGATTCCATGGCCAACTTAGAGAAACATAAGAAACCTCGTAGAAAATCTTTATTCCGTGGAGTAGAATTTTTTCGTCTCAATAAAATGCATATTCCTTGAGCCACGTCCATTTTTATTACATAAATAACCAGAATTTGTTTTGTATTCTCATGCATATTTGCGGTTTATATTAAAAAAAAAAACGATCGGCGGTGCAAGGTTTATGAGGTTTTTATTGTCTTGCAGTTATAAAGTTTGCATATAAAAATTCCATGCCATAAAAGTAATATGAAGATCTCCCATGTTTTGTTTTAAAATCTTGCCGGTCCGATGTTTAAAAAAAATGGTCATAAGGTATGGCTATTGTTCCGGATATCTGAATATATGGAGAAGTAAACAAATAACCAGTTTATTAAAGACGTAGGTATGCTTGAAGATGATATTTAGTGTTGCCAGAAAATATTTTTTTTTTTCAGAAAAAAACCACACGAATCTTATAGAATCTCTTTTTCTTAGAAAAAATACCGCGATGAGGTAAAATATTTTTACATGTTCTATTAATCTATCTTTTAAAAATCGCTCTATTTCGAGAAATGGAAATAATTCAAAGCATCATTTATAAACGTCAGTACTGATTAAATATCAGACAAATGGCATACTATCGAAATCGAATTAAATAACAGGCTAATAGGATATTAAACGTTTTGAAGGCATCACGGGTGTTATAGGATAATAATGCCCTCGGTCAATTACGGAGTACACATAGTGCGTTATTATCCTCAACAACACCCTAGATTCCTTAATTCTTGTTTTATTACTTTTATTTTTTTTATTGGTATTTCCGCAACACTGAAATTAAAAATAAACAAATAAACAATTCCTTATATCCAAATGAAGTTATTTTGAACCAAAACAGAGAGATTTTCGAAACATTAATAACTTTTGCCACCAGAAAACAGTTGACATTGGTATCCTTCTGTATTAAAAATTTTAGACCCTCGTACATACCATATTTTATAGTAATTGTGTTTTTCTTATTTTAATGTAATAATCTAATAATCAGAAAGCCTTTGCAGTTTATTTTAAAGCTATTAAATTATTTCAATTGAATTTGACTTTTTTGGCTTCATTCGATAAAAATTTTTTAAAAATTTCATTAATTTAAACAAGTAAAATATATATTCTTAAAAATTTTAGAATGTGCAAATATTAGATATGTTGTCAACACTTTTGACATTGTCGTTTCAAAATGTATTATCTGAAAGTTTGTTCTATTGTGTTCTGTTAATAGTTACTAATTTCATTTGCAAGGAAAAAGCAATCCTCGAAATGCTGAAATAGCTAAGATCTATCTAAAGTGGCTGCACTTAAGCATTGATCTTTGTCAAACAACAACAACAAAAGATGTCCACTGAAAAAAAAATTATTTGGATTAAATGAGCAAATAGTTTTAAATAGAATTAGTTGGCGTAAATGTTATTTTATTCTATTGAAATGTATACACTTTCGTCAAACTATGTGAAATATTTGCTGTAATTTATAATTTTTCTTAGAATTTATATTATTTGAAAATTTAATTCAAAACTTTTATAGTTTTGAAATTTATTATCTCGGACCTTAGCTACAATATCTCATACAGTTTATCATAAACTGGAAACATATTTGTTTCAAAACTACCAGTTCCTTAAAATATATGTGTATATTTAAAGTTTAGTATTAATGTAGGACTTATTCAAGAAAAATGTAGCATATTATAATCAAACTTATGTTTTCTTGAAAGAAAATTGTAGCAGGTCACAGAATGGCGTAGGTGGAAAGTAGCACGATAGATGGAGCCACTTACGGACTGTGTATACATATCTCCTTGTGAGTAACTACAATAAAGCAGCTAGATCGATCTAAAGACATATTGATGAGATCATCATGAGGACCATCAATAAGTCCCAAACCGACGTGGTGCATTAAACTAATAAACTTACTAATGGTCCTAGCTGTTGTACTAGATGTGAGTTTGAAACAAAATATTTTTTATTACTGAGAAATATTTATATCCAAATATATTCTTAAAATAAATATACCACCATTTGACCAAAATTATTCAGTTTTGTATTAAACAAACGATACATACATACAATACAAAACATGTTTCTATAAAATCTATGTAGATCATAAAATTAAAAATAGAATTCGTTTAACTGCAAGTATCAAATATTTATTTTAAATGCTGCCTATTTTTAAAGTAAAAAATTATATTTCTGGGTAGAAATTTAAAGTATTTTATATATAATTATTTCAGATAATTTTTGGCCGTTTACTAAATATTTTTAACATAATTCACTGATAATCCAAGTATGTATTTGCAGATTTTATGAGGTTAGATATATTGGGCATACCTAGACTTATAATATCAAAGAACATTTGACCTCATTTGATAAGACTTTTAGGAAATTTTTATTTGAATTAGCAAAACATTCGTCTGCTTCATTGACTTCAAGAAGATAAATTTTAAAAATAGATTATTTTTCAAGCGAAAGGATAAAGATCTGTACTATTGTAAGGAAGACAATATCCAATGTTTTTGTTAATACCACCGCCTCAGTCATGAAAATAAACAAACACACGGAGAACTTCACAATCGCACAATCAATCAGCGATAAAGTAAATAGAACCGGTGTAAACAAAGCCAATTGCCGGAATCTTGTCAATGAATTCTACGTATCGCCGCGACCGATAAGACGGTCTTACAAAATAGTGCGATTCAGATAAGCAGAAACAAATACTGTTTACCCATTCAACTCCGTCTAAAAATAAATGCTCCACACTACCTGCATTTGTAACAGCCAGGCGTCCAAAAAGGGTTGAGAGTGGCTGCTCTGGTGGGGGTTCCAGCAATCTCCTGGATGGGCTGGCACGATCTGGTCCTCGGATCGGACGGGGGCCGTAGGGGCTACACAACACGCCCCCGTATCCATAGCCCCAAGGGGCGCACTAGAGGAACGCACACTCTCGAAACGCGATTCAAACCACTATCTGGAGGAGCGAGGAGGGAAAAATTCGAAAGATCCGCGAAAAAACGTTAAAGGCTCAAGGCACTCGATTACCTCAAAGGCACCGTAGTCCGTCAAAGAAAAAGACCCCAAGCTCCAAGTGATGAGCGCCGCGGCAGCTCCGGAATACAAATAAGCTTATCACATTCAATTTGCGTTGAAGTATGTTTACGTTAGGCATTCGTGCATGATGTAATTTAAAATTCACTACAAATAATATCATAAAATCATTTACAATAATGTTACTTCGGATAGTTAGTTATTTACCACTGGCGGCTACAGATGTTGATTCACCTTTGAACAAACCTGTTTTTGAAATGTTAGTAAGATTTCACTCGTGTCTGAATATTGAACGAACTGATTTAATGGCTACAGCTACTTGGGGGGGTGGAGGGATCGATTTGTCTGGAGGAGAAGAGTCACTGGAAAGTCACTACCAAAAACTACTGAACTGTTCATTGGGGGTTCAAGAGAACTACGGGGTTGGGGGGTTAGGCGTCCTGCGAGGCAGCGGAGGCACTCGGGGTGGTTTAGCGGCGTGTGGTCGCCCTAGTTCGTACGCAAGAACGTGGAAGAGAGCACCATGTGGTGGCGCACGGTGTTCACTTGCAGCGTAGTTGTCTTAGCAACGAGCGCACGCCGACTGGCATGGTCCGTGTTCAGCAGGAAAGCGAGCTCTTGCAGGAGATAGGCGCAAGGCGGCGAGACTGGCCGATAAGCGTCCTGTCGTTGCGGGAGACCTGGGACGGTACCGCGCAGGCGTCTCTACACCCACGACACGCGACACGGAGCTGAAACTAATCAAATGATGTGGTCAAAATGGGTATTGTTATTGATTTTTTTATTTTTCAGTTGACTGCGGTTGTGCGCCTCGCGCTGTTTGCACAGATGCGGGCGTTTTGGACTCGAGCATTCATTTTCGATCTGTGTATCGAGTAGAATTTAAAAACGGGGAAAACGGGGTTGATTGATGAGGTTGGGACTCGACAGCGGTAAAATCCTTGTTTATACAGGGTGGTCCCGAGGTAATGGGCGAAAATTCACGGGTAGATTCTCCACGCAAATATATTGCGATTTAGCCGAATTTACCTTAGTCCAAAAGTTGATAGTTAAAGAGATAGAGGGTGTTAAATGTAAAATATTATTTCAGTTTTTTTTTCATTTATTCCTTAACAAATGCAAATATCCTCACAAAATGTTGGGGTTTGAAGTTCTTTGGGTAGGGGAACTGAAATCTGTTCACATTTTGGTTAAAGTTCGTAGAGGGCGCTAGCTGCAGCAGATTGAATGTGTTAAAAACGACATAATTTTTTTGTACTTTAATATATATCATCTTTAATATCTAATTCTTATTTTCTAACTTTTTTTACACAAAATAGGCATACTTTATGAAAGTAGCTATCTCGCACCGTTTTCGAGATATTTGGCTTTGAAACTTCCAATGCATTAAATTACAATTAAGTACCAACAGGTATTATTAATTTAGCGGTAAAGTTTCTTAAGTAGGATTTGGACGAAAATCAAATAATTGACGTTTTTCACTTGTCTTATTACTGTCATTTGTATGCTAATTTCTATTAAGTATTATTCGCACATAATTAAAATTACATCTTAGCTTATAATTTAAATTGTATACTCGTATACATAAATGTGAGATAGAATGCCGAGATTTTCGTTTTTGGAGTTACATGAAATTAGTTGTTTATGAAACCTGAAAAGAACATTAGCAGCAGGTTTTAAATGCTGCAAAAACATTTCGCGTTAAGCTTTTATACTTTAAAATAAGACAATCTTCTAATAAGCGCGTTGATAAATGTATTGAAGTTAGAGGTGGACATTTTGAACAATTATTGTCAAAAAAGCACAAATGTTCACTATTTTACTGTTCATTACAATTTTTAATTCTAAATAAACCCTTGTTTTTGACATTTCTAAATTATTTTAATTATTTCAACTATTAGCATTGGAAGATGCAAAGCCAAATATCTCGGAAATAGTGCGAGACAGCTACTTTCATAAAGTTTACCTTTTTTGTGTAAAAAAAGTTGGAAAATAAGAATTTGATACCAAAGTTGAGATACTTTAAAGTACAAAAAAGTTATGTCGTTTTCAGCAGATTCAATAACCAAAGTATAACCAAAATGTGAACAAATTTTAATTCCTCTACCCAAAGAAACCCAAACCTCAAAATTTTGTGCAGATATTTGCATTTATTAAGAAATAAATGGAAATAAACTAAAATAATATTTTACATTTAAGACTAATCTCTACTCTATCTATTTCTGTATCTATAAGACTATCTCTTTAACTATCAACTTTTGGATTTAGGTAAGTTCGGTTAAATCGCAATATATTTGCTTCGGGAATCTACCCATGAATTCTGGCCCATTACCTCGGGACCACCCTGTATAATTTCATATAAACAAAGATAAAATAAAGAGCAGAAGTTATATTAATAATACTAATAACGTTTATTTACAATGTAAGTACAAACAATGACAACAAAAAGAAAACAATAATGATTACATTTACCTACATTGTAAATGGAGCTAAATCAATTTAATAAAGTTCAAAATTTAGCTCCAATACCTTAAATATCCATAAATTTGTCTTCACTACAAGGTAGACTTATTATTGGACGGAACAAGAAACTACAAATACAGAAAAAATACATACAAGTAAAAAAAATATGTATTCCTTAAATTTAACTTTAAAAGTTGCAGGATTCAATAATTTAATATTTATTGGAATGGCTTTATATAACTTACAAATATTATATGAAAAACATCTACAAAGAATTGAAAATCTATGAAAAGGAGATAATCGTGTGAGTGAAAGCAATAAAGCTTCGGAGTGAATCTGTTGAGTGAAATTTTCACTCAATATTGGGCATTTTGATCATTTTACTAAATTGTGATTATTATTGAGTAAAATTGATTGAAATTTAAATGAATTTTTTTTACAGTAAGTAAAATTATGTGAAATTTAAGTGAAATTTTTTACAGTCAGTAAAATTGAGTGAAATTTAAGTGAAAAGTAAAAACAAGAATGTTTTGGGTCTCCGCTGACTGTACTACAAATACAATGTACGACAAATATGAAACAGTTAATGCATTTCTAGTATGCACATATTCATTCACCTGGGCAATAATACCGACGTTAAGGCATCCGATCCGTCGCCAGACGAAACACTTAATATAATTTACGCCAGCTGATTACCATTAACAGGGGTAATAACTTACGCTGGAAATATTACTTACATTAATTAATTTGGTTACGCAAAGAGCGTTAATTAATGGCGCTCCGTGCGAATTGTTGCCCCGTCTGAGATAAATTACGGATTTTTATGACCCCTGCCCCGCATAGAAAACAGATATTTATCATAGTTTGCGACACTGCTGTTGTTAACATTTGAAATTATACATTGTTTCTTAGAATCTGCTTGTTAGCCTCTGCGCGGTTTTTGTCTCGGTTCCAATGAGGTGCAACGCGTCGTATAATAGCGGAAAGTGCAGGGGCTGGCCAACGAACACAAGGACAATGTGCGGAAGATGGCGATCGAAGATTAGACGGTAATAGTTGAAGGATGTCGATAGGTTCCACTGATATAAAATGGGGATAATACGATATTCAAAAAGTTCCTGTTTTTAATACTGCGATAATTTTTTAAGATATACAGATGCGGAAAGTCATCCTTTATGGCATATACGGCTTTATTAAAAACATAAGCGAAACGATTAAATGGAAATTATATGGCGTCTAATTAATTTCATTCACTGAAAGAAATGTGCTTATTAAGTTGCTTCTTTAAAATAATAACTTTAATAACAAGAATTCAACTTTTATATATAAAAAAGACACTTATCTCTATACTCATTATTCAATAAGTTTATCTGGAAAGCGGTTAATACGCCTTATATGCATCTATGAAACAATAAATTACTTATACCTATATTATTATGAGTTATAGGCTTTATGTTCCATGTATAGTAGGGCAGATTTGTTATTATAGTATATTATTCGTTTTCATAATGATTATGTTTCCGTTTTAAACGTGTAAAACGCGTCTTATAATGGTTAAGTGATCGTCATCTTTCAGTACATAATCGGTTATGATCGTAAAATTTCCGACAGTCCGCTGTGCATCGACTATTATGCTTCTTCTAGTTGGATGAGGCTACATAGTATAGACACATGTTTTATGGCATACATGAAGATACTGCATTGTGTGAAGTGGAAAGTTATGTAAGGATGTAATTATTTGTTGGTCTGTAATTGTTTTGTTTTTTCATATTTAAATATTATCTAAATTTCTATTATCTTATGTATCTTATTAGAACCTTTACATAAGATGGAAATCTTATTGCACTAGTAATTGATTTTAGCAGAGGCCTAGCGTAACTTTCCTAGAGCCTATTTAAAGCAGACATTTTGTTTGGGTTAATAAATTTCTACTTATGGCTAAAAGACACTTCGTTCAGTGTAACTCAATATTTAAAAACTTAGAATCATAGAGAAAACATAAATATGAAATTTCTCTAATTTTTGAAATGTATGTACAAATACAAAACATAAACTGAATTCAGTCACTAACAGCATCTAAAATTAAAATTGTGAATAATTAAAATAAGTTTTAAAATTGTTAGTTAAAATTTAAAAGTTGTATCTAAAAATTTTAATCCATTTTTTGGTCAAACAATGGGTATTTACAACTTATATATTATTTTTGAAATTTTGGCGAATGCGCCAGGGAAAGTTATTGAAGAATTCAAGAAAACGTATAGAAAAATAAATAACGCTATTGCATACCTTATAACTTCCGAATTTATTTAAAAACGTTTATTTAAAGGCTAAAATTACGTGTAACAGAACTAATAATAAATACTTACTTCATTTATACATCATTGAACAGTACACTAAGGTCGCGATGTACAATATTACGGAAAGTTTAGACAGTAGTACCGGGAAAAAAATTTTGACTAATAAATCAACCAAGAGAAATCGCTGGAAATAGTTTTCAAGTCCGTAGCTCTGCCGATAGAGGGCGCAATCTACATACCAAAACATAGAGGTGAATTTTTCTCAGAAATATTTCCTATTCAGGTATATCAAATAGTACAAATATGGATAGCCGGATTAAGTGCGCATAACTTTTGTTATTGACATTTTGTTCTATCTCTCGACAGAAAGGGTGGGGGAAGCCCCTAATGTCTGATCAGAAAAATACATTTTTTTAAGGTCATAAAAAACCCATAGTGTTATACCTTGTTGGAAAGGTCTTTTCATGCTTTATTTCGTGGTGAATGCGTAGTCATTTACCACAGTATGGAAACCTATAAATGGCGTTATTTCAAAATAATGCAGTTTTATGGATTTTTCTCAAAAATTTTAAATGCAATACTATATAGTTTTCTTTACATAAATGAATTCAGCACAAAAAAATTGATGATTATAGTATAAGTTTGAAATTTCTAACGAAAGTGTTGTTTATTTATTAGCGCTATTTATCCAAGTTTAGGTTGTTTCACGTGTTCTTAAAAAAGTGAAATAGCAGGAGAAAATTTTTTATGGGTTAGTTTGAAGAGCATAAAAATAACTACATTTTGACGTTAAAAAAACCAGTATAGTAAAATTTCATAAAGCTATTCTACTAGTACAGTAATTATTTCTGTACCAGTAATTCTGT